TTTTGTTGAAAATAGCTAATTGCTTCTCACTGGAGAAGGTGTTAACGACATTACCAGCATTCTGATGTTGTACACAACCATCATCTTCTAATCTACAAGGCAAGAGTCTGCTCTAGGAGGTGTGCTTAGAACGGAATTCAAGGGACATCTGAGAGCACCTTCTTGGAGCCTCAGACCAGCCTCTCTAGAGGTTTTAAACATCTTAAATTACATAAGAAATTAGAATCAGGAAAGTGAATGAATTAAAAGGGGGAATTGGAATTCCTCTGGAAGATTAATTTGAGACTCTTTCTTGACTACGTTTTGTCAAACTCTTAGTTTAAGAAATAACTATTCTTTACATTTATCCTTAGGTAGTATCAAAGAGCATACTGGGAGAAGACTTTTAAATTAAAAAGTAATTTTTGTATTTTTCTCCCGACAAAATTATTCCATACTGCGTGCCTGTTAAATATTTTTAGAAATTTTAAATACTAGATATGATTCTTCTTTTTGTACTTAAATCAGGGAAGTATTCTGGTCCAAATAAAGACTCACAACTTATTTTTCTTTTTGTATTATAAAATCACATATACAGATGAACAAAATAAGAAAATAATACTTTCTAATCACACCACCAACAATAGCCACTGTTAATATTTTGATATAGCTTTTTTCTTTTTTCTATGTGGCCATATGTGTATCTATCTATCTATCCAAGTATCTATCTATCTACAAATTCAGAAAAATTATGGAACATGCTCTTTGTTTAATTAACTTTCTATTTTATATTAGTTTAAGATTTATACTTAAAACTTAAATTTTTTAAGTTGTAAAGATAATGGAGACTTCCCATATAGACCACATTGTTATAGTATACGTTATTACTAACTGAAGTCAATGCTTTATTCATATTTCTTTACTTTTTACCCTATATTCCTTTTCTGTTCGAGAATCCCATCCCGCTACCACATTACAATGAATGATTGTGTGTCTTTAGGCTGCTTAGATTATAACAGTTTCTTAGACTTCCTTGTTCTTGATGACTTTGACAGTTTTGAATAATAATGGTTGGTTGTTTTGTAGAATATGCCTCATTTGGGATGTTTGTTTCTTTCTCACGGTTATGCTGGGGTTATGAATAGTGGGGAGGAGAACCCCAGAAATGCCATTATCATCCCAACATATCAAGGATACGTACTCTCAGCATGACTTATTACTGTAGATGTCAACCTCGATCATCTGGCTGAGGTAGCTTGTCAGATCTCTCCACAATGAAGTTACCCTTTTCATACTGTGCTTTTTGGAAGGAAGTCACTGCATGGAGCCCACTGTTAAGAAATAGGAGTTATGTTCTACTCCTTAAAGTGGGGGAGTATCTACATAAATTATTTGGACTTCTTGATAATTTATCTATTTTTATTCTCTCTCACTTATATATTTAGTCACTTATTTGTAACAATGTTAACTCATATTTATTCAATATGGTGGGTTATAATCCAACATTGTTATTTATCTTTGTTCAAATTGTCCCAGGTTTGTCCATTGGGAGCTCTTCAGTTGGCTGCTATATCCCTTTCACATGCTCCATTGTTGTGGGTTTTCTTTAGCAAGTTTTGCTTTCTGGCACTTACAAGATGTTTTGGACTTATATTCTCTCTGCCTGACCTGAAATCAGCCATTTCACCAAGGAGCTCTGGATTCTTTTATTGGAGAATGGTATTAGAAACCAGTATCTGGACACTGAGTGGGCTCATTGGTACTTGAATTTGTTGCTTTGAGACTCTCTCAGCAAACAGAGCAAGAAAACAAGTATAAGGTGTACACTAACTGGTGTATGCAAACGTGTCTATAATTATTTCTTCCTATATATTCATTTGTATCTATATTAAACTAAATATGAGTTCATGCTGATATCTCCAGCTCTTATCCAGTACATGAATCATTCTAGACTTATTTTCTTGGTTCTCTGTAAACTCCTGCTCCATTAGTGAGAAACCTAGTTACCACCATCTGCCATTTATTTACTTAATTGTTCAATTCTAGTATGCATGTATGGTGGATTCAGAATTGTTAACTTCTACTCTCATGGGAAATAATTTTACCAATTAGAGTACAGTGCTTATGTACAGTTTTACTTTCCACTCATTCCAAAAAGTTATTTAGTTTGGCACTTTTACCCCCACTCTCTTCAGCGAGGTCATTTTATACATTTCTAATGGAAATTCCTTTGTCATAGTCTGCATTCCATCCTGGGATCCTCTGGTCTCCTAAATGACTTTTGAAAATTCACATGCTTTAAGTTTCACTCTTCGTGCTATCAAGTTCTATAGATTTTGACAAACGCAGTGTTAGGTATCTACCATTGCAATATGGTATGCAGAAGAGTTTCACCACCCAAAAAATAACTTCCCATGCTTCACCTATTCGACCATCTCTCTTCTAAACCCCTGGCAACCATAGATCTGTTTGACGTCTCTGTAGGTTTTTTTGGTTTGTTTTTGTTTTTCCCCAGAATGTCATAAAAATTGGATCATACAGTATGCAAACTTTTCAGATTGGCTTATTTCACTTTTAAATATGCATTTAAGATTTATCCATATTTTTGCATGACTTGATAGCTCATTCCTTTTTATTGTTAAATATTATTCCATTATATGTATGTGTCACAATTTATTGATCCATTCACCTATTAAAAGGCATATTAGCTGCTTCTAGAAAATTATAAATAAAGCTGCCACAAATATTTTTGCATGTGGATTTTTCATGTGCATGCACATATTGTGCACAAGCACATATATTTTCGATCAATTGGGTAAATAATTGAGAGCCTAACTGTTGGATCATATGGTAAGACTGTTTTGCTTTACTGCTAAGCTGTCTTCTAAAGTGCGTATATCATTTTGCATTCCCACCAGCAATGAATGAGAGTTCCTGTTGCTTAGCTTCCTTGCCAGCAATTTGTATTATCGGTGCTTTGGATTTTAGCTATTCGAATAGATGTGTACTGGCATCACATTGTTGTATTAATTTGCATTTCACTAGTCACAAATGATGTTAAATATCTTTTCATATGTTTATTTTCCATCAGTATTTTTTTTGTGATGTATCTGTTTAAATCTTTTGCTCATTTTAAAATTGGATTTTAGTTTCTTAAGGAGTTTTAAGACTTTTTTTGTATTTTGAATACAAGTTCTTTATCCAATATATGATTTACCATATTTTGTCTTTTTACCCTCTTTGTGGTGTCTTTCATAGCATGACTCTCAATTTGCTTTTTTTTCCTGAGGAATGTCATTACATTTTTTCATATTATTCTATAAAATCACTTTTTAAGGACTGCAAATTATTCTATTATAGGACTGTACCATACCATATGTTACTGTCGGACAAATATTTATATGGCTTCCTGTTTTTCCTTTCTTTCAGGAAGAAAACAAAACAGTGATGGACATACTTGTAACTAAATATGCTCTTAGGTACTCTTAGGTATTCACTTAAAATAAAATTCTTTAAGTGAAAATTCTGTATCCAAAGGTATCACCTTTTAAAGACTTTTGCTAGGACAAATTCTCTTTTTCCTTGATCTGCCATGCTTAGGAATTATTCCATTCCCTCTTTAGGTCCGAGTCAGAGGCAGGCCACAAGTGCATTTTGAAGTATCAGATGCTTTGATACCTTACTGTGTTAAACACACATAAAGCTGAGACATCAGAAGTATTCAGCCTCAAGTGAAAGCTGGATTCTAACCTTTGTAAGAGTGACACCTCCCCCATTTGTTTCAGTTTGCACTCTAAACCTTAATTTAGGCCTCATGTCTTCTAGAAAACCTGTATACCAATCCTACACACAGTGAAGGTGTGTAATGAGGCAAGCTGGATGCTGTCTGTCCAGTTATTCAGATTGCAGAGTTATCTAGGGTTCTGGGGAAACTGGTAGCAGCCCCCTGGTGCCACCATTGCCTTCCCTCCTGTCTCAACCTGGGTTAATGTCCCTCCACTGCATTCCTGTGCCATTTGATCTTGGACTTATTTTTTTTTAACTTTATTATTATTTTTTAAAATTATACTTCAAGTTCTGAGGTACATGTGCACAATGTACAGGTTTGTTACATAGGTATACATGTGCCATGTTGGTGTGCTGCACCCATTAACTGTCATTTACATTAGGTATTTCTCCTAATGCTATCCCTCCCCCAGCCCTTTTTAATGTTTCTGCCTCTATGAGATTTTAAATATCTTAAACTGAGCTACCTAAAAATGTCATTTTTAAAAAATTTTAAATAGATAATCAATGAAAACAAATGTTTTTGAAAATTCTACCACATTGCCTGTTCCAAAACAGGGATGGGCATCTCTCTCCTGGAGTAAAAGAATCACCCAGGTTTCCTCTCTGTTTCTATGCACCCAGTGTAGTCTGTAAATTCCTACCCAGACCAAGCAGTGGAGAGAGTGAGCGGTAGCAGGCACTGGACTCACTGGCCTAGTGCTTACTTTAGCCTTGTAGACTTGGGTTTGTGCTGCCAGATGCTGCTGCTAACCTTTGGCTTACAGTAGTTTTGACGAATATGGAGGCTGTTAGTCAAAGGAACTCTGTCTCCCTAAGAATGTGTTACGACACATTTAATTCAGAGGTACATCAGTTGCAACAGATCTTGTGCTTTAACAAGTACCTTGGATCTTTGAGAGAATAAACTAGTCATGGCTTTACAGGCCTTTTAGGGAAAGCTACTGCTGCACTCTGTGCTCCTTGGTTCTTGGGAATGCACAGCAGTGCTGGATGCCAAGAATATAAACAGCCAGAACAATATGTTCAGCATTTAGGAAATACAGCTGGATCTAGCAAATGTATATGACAGATTGACTCTGTGGCCAAAGAAATTTCCTCTGCACATTTCACCCACTTAAGTAACGTTAAACTGAAGGTCCTAGCGTATCGCCCATCATGACATGATTTTGAATATATGCTAATTAAAGGGCATGTCTATTCACTTTATTTGTGTCTCTTGTGTCTTTCTCTAGAGTTGTTTTAAGGCAGAGTATCACATCGCATCAAAACTGCTCCGTCTCCTGCCACTCCACGTGCAATGCCATGAACTTAAATAAATTGCTGGTAAGAGGAAGCAAATGCTGTGACCAGGCAAGTAAGTGTTGTCAAAGTGTTGTAAAACTACCGTGAACTTTTGGATCCAGAGGACTTTCCTTCCTTTCCCTTCCCTCATCCTCTCTTTTCTTTGAGTATAACTGGTCACAGGAACACACTTCCAAAGCTTGAACTTAGAACTTTCATCTGGGAAGTTTGTTTGGACAGCATTCAAACATAAGTGATAAAAATATACAAAGGCTGGTCAGGCGCAGTGGCTCGCGCCTGTAATCCCAGCACTTTGGGAGGCCAGGGCAGGCGGATCATGAGGTCAGGAGTTTGAGATCAACCTCGCCAATATGGTGAAACCCCGTCTCTGCTAAAAATACAAAAAATTAGTGGGGCATAGTGGCAGGCACCTGTAGTCCCAGCTACTTGGGAGGCTGAGGCAGGAGAATCACTTGAACCTGGGAGGCGAAGGTTGCAGTGAGCTGAGATCACACCACTGCACTTCAGCCTGGGTGACAGAGCAAGACTCCATCTCAAAAAACAAACAAACAAACAAAAAAAGCAAAAAAAGAATACACAAAGGCTATTTATGATTTTTAAAATTTGAATTCAAGGGAAGTATTGGTGCTACTCTTAAAAGTTTTCACTTAAGAAAGTGTTCTCATCTTCATTTTCCCTCATTCATCCTGAGGCCTTCATCCCTCCCATAGCAAGAGAATATAAAATAAATGGGACAGAAAGAGTGAAGAGGGCATCCTAACAAAGATTGTTTTCCATTTTCCTCTGTATCTGGCAGCCTCTGTTACTACTGGGAGAGAGAGGAAGCGAATCAAAAGTGGAATGAATTTGTGCTGTTTTTAGAGCCTACTCTTTCCCACACCCTTTATATACCTCACCTTACTTAATTCCATGAGTGAAGTCTATGTTTTTATTCTGCTATTACAGGCACGTATATTAAAGGGCTCAGAGAGTCAGTAACTTGTTCAGAGTCACAGAGCTATAGCCCGGATTGGAGCCCAGAGCTGTGTGATTGTACAGAGCCTATTACGTGGTCCCTATCTACATTATGTTGAGTCCTTTTGCCTGCAATTAGGTTGAACGGCTGTCAAGTCAGCTGAAAACTGTGGTTATGGCTGTAGGCCATAATCACAGGCAAGCAATAAGGAGGCAGCATCTTTTGGGAGCTGAATTTGCAAAATCATATGAAGTCATGGCAACTGTGGCCCTGAAGACAAGGCCCAGGTAGTACCCAGGCAGATTCAGAGAGGGCTGATGGAGAATAGGTGTGAGTCTCCTACCTGGCCATTACTGTTTGGGTAGAACTTCTCTTCTCCCTCCTTCTGAAAACAAAAAACAAACAAACAAAAAAACTTGAACTCCACTCAAGTTTTTTCTATTGCAGCTGCTGCAAACCAATGGGCTTTGGGGAACTGTGCTTCCCTTCAGAAAGGAAAGAGTATTTGAGGATGACAAGGAAGGTAAGAAAGAGGGATTTATGTGCAAGGAAATTTACATCATCTTTAGATGAAGGAGGGCTTGAAGGAAACATCCCAGCATGTAAAAGAGAAACGATAAATTAAGACTAATTTTTTAAAAAGTATCTATGTACATTTTTTCACAGGCATTGCTAAATCCCGTGTTTTAAAAATTAATTTTTCCCTCATATTAGCAATGTCACAATAGTCACTATCACTGGAATGACACAGTATCATGCAAGGGGGTGGCAGAGGAAAGTGCATGCAGTGATGGATATACTGATCAACGTAATGTGATGTGGCATCCCTTCTCAACTGCAAATACAATTACCTTCAGGGTGACAGAACAGCCAAACTGCTTCAGTAAATTACTAGGATATTGCCTTGCTGCTCTAAATCCTGAGTCTGTTTTCTGGGTTTCTCTATATTTGTGGGGAAATGAATTTCCAGTTAAATCTTTGTTATTCTCTCCCTAGAGCCAAAAATTGTGGGTGGGGCAAAGACTTATATTCAAAACAAATTTTACTCCTCGATGCTATCACTATCTTTCTTCCAAAGTCTCTTTGTCAAAGCACTATCAATCTATGTAGGCCACTGCATTGATCCTACATTATCGATTCATTAGCCACCATTTATGGAATACCTCCAATGCATCAGTCACTGTGCTAGACATTAGGGATATAGAGACAAACAACACACTCCATGCCCTCCAGGAGCCCATGTTTAGTAGAGAAGAAGGACAACGGAACAAATAGTCACTATATAAAAGTTCAATGGTCAAGGGTTATACAAAGTATGATAAGCACATCTGGTATGTATGAGTATCTTCCAGACGGGGAAAATTTCTTACATTTTCTGTTGCAAAACAAATTTCCCCTGTTTTTTTTAAAAAATAAGTTGGCACCATTCAAATCGTCAATCCAAAATTAACTGGTCTCTAAGTTATTGATGCCCTGCAGCTAGAAAGTCTTTAATTTTATTACTGAAATCTACTGCAACATAGCCAAGTCGAATATAATACAACCCAAAGGGGAAATATCACATTTATCTAGATATGTAATTGAAACAATTCTGTATACTTAGAAACTATGATATTTTCACTGCATAACAATTTGGGGAAATCACATCAGGCCACATATTTAGAAGGTATCCCATGGCAACCATGAGAAGTTGCTTTGGTCTCACATAGCTGAACATAAAAATGACTCCTTGCTTATCAGATGCCTGGAAGAAGAAGGGGCAGCAAAAGTTATATCTCCTTTGAATTATTAAATTAAGCTCCTCTCTGGACCTCCATGAGCTCTTGTGAAGCAAGAAAATGCATGTCCTACTCTTGGTCCCATGGATGTAGTAGATGTTCTTCATGCTTGATTTTTTTTTCTTTTTTATGGAATGTGTCTTGCTCATACTTAGGGGCTTGTGGTTCAGTGGAGACCACACTGGACTGGACTGAACAGACAACTGAAGAGCTCTCTCTACCTTTCAGCATCTCTGTCTGCCTTTCTGACTACCTAAAAAGTACTACAACCTCTGACTCTGTTTCTAAGGTGGATTTTTCGTACTCATGCTTCCTAGCGACTTGGTGAGGATTTTGTTGAGTCATGGGACATTTGAGCTTGCCAAGGTAAGGCTTCATTGTGGCTTTGTGTGGCCCTTCTGGGATCACTGATGTGCCCGGGCCAGGTTCATTTGTATTTGAAGGAGGGAGGAGTTGGTTTGGAGGCACAGTCTAAGAGGAGAGAAGAAGTGGAGGGTGAAGATGAGGGCACAGCAACTGGTCTCTTTATGGCATCTCATACAGAGTTGGCACCTTGGCAATTAGGATATTGGGGACCAAAAGCTGATGCACCACTTTAACAAGATTCTTTGTAAATGTAGGGCAGGTTGGAGGTCAGAAACACAGGCAGGACTTCCGAAGGCTGTGGGCACTGTTACTGTGAGGCTCAAGTGACAAGGCGGGAGACAGGATTGGGTGGAGGCCACAGTTCTTCCATGTTGAAGAACCCGCTAACATCCTGAAGACTGCCTACCTTGAGACCAACCCAGCAATGCTGGGTGCTTTCTTGGTAGACTGCTTGGAGAGGCAGCTGTGAGGAGTCTTTGTGGTCCATGGACAACTGGAGACTGGAACATGGGGAAGTTGGGTGGTTACAACTGTAATTATTAGACCAATCTGTGGCCCATATGATACCCACCAGAAAGAATTCTTGCCCAGCTCTGTGCCTCCTACCTCAGATGTGGCACCCAGAATGGCACCAAACACGCCTAGTGAGGTTTGGAACAAGAGTAAGCTAGCTTCTCTGCTATGTTTTCAGTAGCCTTCCTGATAACACCCAGCATTTGTTGAGCTTCTTTAGCTTCAGCACATGTTTCCACCACTGTCCCCTAACAGAGAGGATGACTATGTCACTGAAGAAGTGGAGCAGCTGAAAATAGACTCCGCTCTTGGCCCCTGTAGAGACTGCGAAACTCTGTGCACACCGTGACAGTCGGGGCTTCTGAGCACTGTGCTGTTCAGCTCTATTGCGCAACCTACCACGCCCCGTTACTGTAAATGGAACACCGGCTGTGAGCTGGTCAAGGCCTTGCCATGACAAGGCCACTTGCATGGGACTCTAATTTAAACAAAACAAAACAAAACAAAACAAACCAGGTCTTTCTTATTGACTGAAAAACTGGTTCTCTTTTTCATATTTCTCACTGTCTGGAGCTGAATTATTAACAGGCAAAAATTAGGTGGGGCTTCATTGATATTCTCATGAGCTTTTACAACAAGATCAGAAAGTGTGCCTCGGTGAATTGCCTTTTGTTAGCAGTGTGGAGACGCAGGCAAAAATGAGCAGCGTGGTTTGTGTTTGCAGCTGCCCCTCCCCTCTCTTCAGCGTCTCTCCTTCCCGGCTGCAAGGTGCGTCTTTAATGCGCCACACTGACAAGGCATTTCAGTCATGCAGCTAATTAATATCATTCCCAGGCTCAATGTGACAGTTCCTTCAGACTCATAAATCAGAAACCGCTAACGTCATTTCTTTTCTGATCTCTTTCTCTTTCTTTTTAATATGTTGATTTACTTTCAGTATGCGTAACCAAAAAAGAAAGAAACAAACCAATAAAAATACTGATGAAAATGCCGGGTGCCATGACTTGAATGCATTTTAGACTTTCCAAGCCAGCAATGCAACAGCCAGGAAAACAGCAAAGAAAAAAAAAATCACCCTTGCCTTTCAGGGAATGAACATGGGAGGAAAACAAAACATCAGACAGTGTTCTATCTTTTAGAGACTATGAGTCAATCCCCGGGGGCTGTATCAAGACAGACCTAGTTACCTGGAGAATACAAAAAATGGCCTGGCCAAAGTTCAAACACTAGAGTGACCAAACAAAAGGATTCCCAGGGAAGAAGAGGCACTAATCAAAGCTCTGACAGCACCCAGCCCTGATGAAAAATGACTGTGGAGAATTCCCATTAAGGATATTTGAAACCACAGTTCTTATCTTTCCCTCCTTCCCCTTTTCTCAGCTGGGGACATGCAGTCTATCTTTTCCCTCCAATCTTATCCATGTCCTGGAGACAGACTGTGTTCACTTAGGTCAAATCTGGTCAGGGTGGAGGGGTCAGGTTACGACTCCCGGCTGATGAAAAAACTGTAGCTTCAAAGTTGCCTTGTTTGCCAGTTCTCTCAAAAAGATCCACACCCAGTAAAAATAATTCTTAAATTTACCCTACTGATGGGAGCACCTGGAAAAAAGGATTTTTTTTATGCCTGAATATGAACTTTGATAAAAGCCAATTATTAGCAGCCTGGAAGAATGCTTTACAAGATCTTGAAGAAAGATTGGTTTAAAGAAAATAGTGGAATATTTTTTCATTAATTCATAGCCACAATAGCCCTATTCTTAGAGAGTTTTTTTTTTCACAGCCATACTGATTTTTCAAACACTAATTTCCTCTTACTGGTTCTGCTCCTTGTGGAATTTATTAAAGAAAAGAAGAGTAGAGTCTTCTACTTATTGCATGGTTGCCAGATAAAGTATCTAAACATAAAAATTAAGAAATTGCTTAGATTATGTAGACACAGGCACTTACATTTTAAAAGGTAATGGTTAAAAAGAGAAATTTATCAGTTACATTCATGGGAATGAACATTAAGCATTCATCAAAAAGATGTTCAGAAATAACTGAGAGTAAGGGGAAATAAGAATATAAAATTAAAAAGTATTTCTCAGAAAAGCATAACACAGCGTGTCTCTACTAGAAGGAAGCAAAATAAAATGTTACACATTTTAAATCGAGAAAGTTATCAAAATGTCTAAATCCCTGCCCTAAATCATGTGCATCCATTCTTTCTCCCTCAATGGAGAACACTTGTATATACATAGGTTCTTTAAAAGGCTTTGGTGAGGATGGAAATGGTAACATTGTGTCAGAGGTGTGTGAACCAGAGCACCTCCATCTTGAATAGGGGCTGGGTGATACAAGGCTGAAACCTGCTAGGCTGCATTCTCAGACAGTGAAGGCACTGTAAGTCACAGAATGAGATAGGAGGTCAGCACAAGATACAGGTCATAAAGACCTTGCTGATAAAACAGCTTGCAGTAAAGAAGCTGGCCAAAACCCACCAAAGCCAAGATGGCGAGAACAGTGACCTCTGGTCATCCTCACTGCTATACTCCCACCAGCGCCATCACAGTTTACAAATGCCTTGGCATCGTCCGGAAGTCACCCTATATGGTCTAAAAAGGGGAGGCACTAATAATCCACCCCCCGTTTAGCATATCATCACAAAATAACCACAAAAATGGGCAACCAGCAGCCCTCAAGGGTTATTCTTTTATTTTTCTACTTTGTTAATACACTTGCTTTCACTTTACTCTACAGACTGGTCCTGAATTCTTTCTTGGACGAGATCCAAGAACCCTCTCTTGGGGTCTGGATTGGGACCTTTTTCCTGTAACAATTGGGTGGACTAGGTTATGCTGCAATAACAAACAACCCCAAAGTCTTGGTGACTTAAACCACAAAGATTATTTTTTGCTCCTGTTACATGTCAATCAAGATTCAGCAGGGCTGTTTGGTTCATCATGCTTGAAGAATCCAGGCTGATGCCAATGCTGGCTCAAGAGAGACCTGGGGAGTCTCTTCCCAGACCTGGGAAGATCATGATCTTCTTCTCAGAAGCGGGAAGGGACGCAGACCAGTTCCATTCACACTTCATGAACCAAGTCATGGCCAGTCCTAAATATCAGAGTGTAGAAAGTGCAGTCCAACTTGAGGAATATCTTACGGAGCGGGCAATATTGATGTCTGTCTGGAATGTTTGCATTGGTTCTTTTTCATCCGTGATTTGACTTTCTTCTAGCAGGTGTTGGCCTGTTTACAGATGCCAATAAAATGCTCCTTTGAATGTAACTTCTTCCTTCTGGAATTCCAGGCATCTTGCTATCTGTGGAAATCTCTTGGACTAATAACAGGGTATTGACAATGGATTTCAATGCATAATGCCTAAAGGCAGGTGCAAATTTGAAATTCCCAAGTCCTTGTTTGTTCTGGAAGTCAAGCCTCTTGCAAAGTTAAAAGATTTCAGTTTTTTCTCTTCCTGTTTTTTTCCTGTTTCTTTCCTCTAATCATCTTTATCTCCCAGACCTTGTCCCATGGCCCCTGTTTTACTGACTAAAACAGAACTTGGTCAGAACTTTTAAAACATATTCTCCAAGGCTTCCAGCATACCATTTCTGCCATATTTTCAAGATCAATTGTGGATGACCATAATAGAGCCAGACTCTGGTGCCAATGTGCAGAGGAAAGAGTTTATAAATATTTACATAGAAAAATGATTGAAACTAACTTTTTTTTGTCAAAATGAAATTCAAGATGATGACTACACCCTTCCTTTTAATCCGAAGGTGCATGAGGTTTAGGAGAAAGCAATGAGGAATGAAATTCACAGAACTTGCTGGTTTTTAATCTTCCTTAAAAATAAGAGAATTAAAAAGAGAAATTTAGGCTTTTTATCAGGCCAATTCAGATATGTTTTTGAGACATAATAGTAAATCACAGTATAACATTTACAATAACAGGCTCTTGAAAATAATTGCTATTGTAAAAGTGATACATTTATTGTAGATAATTAGGAAAATAATGAAAGGTATAAAGAAAAAAAGAATCAGCCATAATCTTAGACTCTAGAAATAATAATTGCAAGCATTTGATGTTATCCTCCCAGTATTTTCCTTGTGTCTGCAGTTTTTTTAATGCAATTAAAAAATATACTGCAAAGGGTATAACTATCGGTCCACAAATTCAGACCTACTTGAAACAATAATTCCCTTCATTTTTTTAAGGCTCAAGTTGATTTCTTTCTTTCTTCTTTTTCTTCCCCCCTTTTTTAGAGACAGGGTCTTTCTCTGTCTCCCAGGCTAGAGCACAGTGGCATGATCACAGCTCACTGCAGCCTCAAACTTCTGGGTTTAAACAATCCTTCTGTCCCAACCTCCTGTGTAGCTAGGACTAGAGGTCCATGCTGCCATGCCAGGCCAATTTTTTAATTTTTATTTTTGTAGGAATAGGGTCTCATTATGTTACCCAGACTGGTCTCAAACTCGTGGTCTCAACTGACCCTCCCTCTCTGGCCTCCCAAAGTGCTGGGATTACAGGCGTGAGCCATCATGCCCCATACAGAATAGTTTCTATTTTAAGTCCTCACTTTGCCTGGGAACTGAAATTTAATGTTGGTCAATGTGAGACAACTTCCTTCTTTCTAGAGGTTTGTCTAAATTGACAGGGGGTGGGGTGATGGAGGCCCAAGACACAGGAAGGAATGTGCTACATCCTTGAACAATCATTTACAAATGTATCTGCAAAGTTTCTTCTTCCTGTTTGAAATTTTTTCTTTAGTTCGAAAGCCTCTGCCTAGGAAATAAGGTCACAGGATCAACCAAACTCTAGCTCTCTTATTAATGAATGAACTCCCAATTTATTCTGTCCTAAATCCAGTGGTACCTTTTTTTTTCAAGTACAAGAACATGCTAGTTATCTACCTATTACCTTTCTGCTCCAAATCCACCCTTTCCATGCTGTGCTCTGCGATTCTGGCACTGGGATTCTGGAAACTTTATTTTCCAGGCTCCTTTGCTGGCTGACGTTCTGCTAATTCTGCAGCTGGTTGCAGCAGATGAGGATGGACAGCAAAAGGAAGGGAAAAGTGGCTTCCTTCCCGATTACTGCCAGTCCTGTCAGTGTTACCTAAGACTGGCAATTTGTTCCACCAGCAGCAATGCCTTCGGACTTCTGCCTCAGTGTTTTCAAGAAGTCCCAGTGTTACAGGAAAGGTGTCCTGATTCAGACCCCAACAGAGGGTTTTTGGAATTTGCACAAGAAAGAATTCAGGGCAAGTCCGTAGACTAAAGTGAAAGCAAGTTTATTGGGAAAGTAAAGGAATAAAAGAATGACTACTCCAAAGAGCAGCCCCGAGAGGGCTGCTGGTTGCCCATTTTTATGGTTATTTCTTGATGATATGCTAAATAAGGGGTGGATTATTCATACCTCCCCCTTTTAGACCATATAGGGTAACTTCCTGACATTGCCATGGCATTTGTAAACTGTCATGGTGCTGGTGGGAGTGTAGCAGTGAGGATGACCAAAGGTCACTCTCGTGGCCATTTTGGTTTTGGTGGGTTTTAGCTGACTTCGTTACTGCAACCTGTTTTATCAGCAAGGCCTTTATGACCTCCTATCTCATCTTGTGCTTTAGAATGCCTTAACTGTCGGGGAATGCCACCCAGTAGGTCTCAGCTTCATTTTACCCAGCCCCTACTCAAGATGGAGTTGTTCCGGTTCAAACGTCTCCAACACTAGCACCCACCACATCAGGGACCCTCAGAAGAGAAGAGCCATCAATGGCTGGGCGACGCCACAGGAGCACCACCTCCAGGAGGTCCTCTGCTGTAGCTTCTATCGTCTACTAAGCCCCTGCTTTCTCCCCATTGCTATCCCTGCCCACGAGCCGTCCAGTTGGAAACTTCATATTATTTCCTCCAGATTATTCCCTCGAAGCCTGCTTTTGCTCTTTTAGCCTTCCAACACCTAGAGAGTTTCTAGGTGTTTAATTTCCAAAATTAAACCCACTCTGTTGAAATACCTAGTGAGATTTAGAATTTCCTCAAGAGACCCGACTGACACTTGGAGGCGGGATTCTTCTTTCTCTTAATGTTGATGTTTTTCCTCAGAGGAAATCCCTCCATCAGTGATGTTTGCATCCCAGGCATCTGGCCTGAGCTCTTGAAAGGATTCACACAGGTGAAAACACAAAAACTAGTGACTCATCCGCGATCTCTGTTTCCTGCCCAGTCTCATAATGCTCTTCTCCTGCCATTACAAACACAGAACTGGGCTACGTGCCTGAATGGAGGAGGGGAGGCGGTGATAGAAAAAGGGGAAAATCATTACTATCACAAAAGTGCGATACAATTACCGTACTTTATATAAATATTGCATTTTAGAATTTTGTCACAAGCATCCTTATATTCCCTTTCTCTGCTAAGCCCTGCCCAAATTGCAGATTGATGAACAACATAAATGTTGTTGTTGTAAGTCAGTAAGTTTTGGAGTAACTTTTTTTTTTTTTTTTTTTTTTTTTTTTTGAGACAGGATCTTGCTCTATCTCTCAGACTGGAATGCAGGCGTGTGAATACGGCTCACTGCAGTCTCAACCTCCTCGGCTCAAGTGATTCTCCCTTTTCGGCCTCCCAAACAGCTGGGACCACAGGTATGTGCCACCACACCTGGCTAATTTTTTAATTTTTGTGGAGATGGGGTCTTGCCACATCACCCAGGCTGGTGGTGAGCTCCTGGGCTCAAGCAATTCTCCCACCTTGGCCTTTCAAGGTGCTTTTCAAAGTGCCTTTCAAAATCAGCCACCACACTCAGCCTGGAGTAAATTTTTACACACCTACCTTGTCTAGTACTGACCCTGTCGTGTGTGTGTGTGTGTGATATGTTTATAAAAATAAATAACTTGCATTATTCTGACATGTCTTGGTTTTCAAAGGTTAGAAGAATCTTGGTCATCCAGAAAGCTTGCTATAGCTGCCCAGCATTTGCCTCCTCCACAAAGAAGGACCAAAATAACAAGTAGACAATCACATGCCAAATAAAATGTCTAAGGGAGAGCACTGAAACTCAGCAAAAACGTTATGAAGACCCTCTGAGGTGCAGAAACTCAGGAAAGCAAAGCAGCCAGCCAGGATCACCTCAGAGCCAAGAGGGCCACCGCTTGAGGAGGAAAGGTAAGCAGGAGATGCCCCGCAGGCAACATTCCCACCACAAATGCCTGCAAGCCTAGCTGTAGGAGAGCAGTGTTGAGTCCAGTATAGGAGCTGCCTGGAGTCTCTGCGACCACATTACTCCAGAGAGACCACTGGGTCCCTCCTTAATCCCTGGGACCAAGCTGCTGCAGCACAGTGCCATTCTGAGCACAGAGCCACTGCCAGAATGCTTCCTGTCTTGGGGCCCCGTAACCTCTGCATGTCCTCGTCACTGGAGCCCCAGTATCATTCCATCACACCCACACACAAGGCTGCAGGGCCATGACTGCAGTTGGACCCAGTGGTGCAGCTGTGAACCTAGCGCCTGAGCCCACATAGTGCATAGAACTCCAGGAACAGGTGGTCCAGCAAAGTGGGAAGGCTGCCTCTAAGGTAAAGAAAGCGAAGGGGCATACTCCTCAGAGTCTGAGAGCTGACTGCCAGGGACCTGCTGCTGCCTGCAACCCTGCCTACTCCAGCAGCAGAGCCACAACACACCTGCATGTCACCGCATACCCTAGGGGGCTGAGGGTGGCTCTCCTGAGGCTCACTGTAGCTAGCCTCCCCATCTACTCCAGCAGCAGAGCCACTGCATGCCCACCACCAAGGATCCTGAGGACCAGGCCACCCGAGGCTCACTGATGATGGCTAATCCACCAACTCCAGTGATGAAGCTACCATGTGCCCCTACCCAAAGGCCCAAGGACTGGCCTGTTTGGGGCCCAACATCACCGCCAGCAACCTTGCCCCCTTCAGCAGCAAAGCCTTCATGCACCACCCCAAATGCCTGAGGATCAGCTCTTCTGAGTCCTGCCACCACCAGTGACTCTAAAAACTGTGAGCTCAAAGAAGTAGAGAGAAGAATACAGTTACTAGAGGCTGGGAAGGATGACGAAGACAGGACTGGGAGGATGAATAGGGAGAGGTTGGTTAACAAACACAAAATTACAACTAGATAAGAAGAAAAGTTCTAGTGTTCTAAAGCACTGTAGGATGACTACAGTTAACACGAACTTATTGTATATTTCCAAATAGCTAGAAGAAACTATTTTGGATGTTCCCAGCACAAAGAAATGATAAAAGCTTGAGGTGATGGATATGTTAATTACCCTGATTTGGTCATTACACATTCTATACATGTATGGAAATATCATTCTGTACCCCATAAATATGTACAATTTTTATGTGTCAATTAAAAATAACAAAAAAGGGTCTGCATTAACATGGCTTCAAATTAGACTTGAGAAAATTTTGAAAAACATTTATTATATTTAATACATATAGAGCTCCAAAATCTGCAGCTCATTTATCAGAGGGCACATAACTTTGTTGGATGTATTGTTAAATGCAAGTTACAAGTTTCTCTTCTTCTAAATTATCAAGCATATGAACTCCGCCCTCCTCATTAAAGTTGATTTAAACATAGAGACTTATACAGGTTATATGGAATTTAGTTCCATGGTTGCTTGAGCCAAAAGAAAGTCAAGATGGATGATCTGTGTTAACTCTATGCATCCATATGTGTATTTATGAAGCTGAGAAGCAAGTCTGAAACTTTATGTGCCCTTTAAAAGATAAAATCTTCTGAGAGAAGCATATCCTGCCTCCATAAATACTGCACCAAAAGCTTATGCATCATCTAATAACAATAATAAATATTTCCAGGTCAAAAACAACCACAAGTTTGCAATTGATTTTGACCGTTATTTCACACTGAATAACTGCAGGATGCAAGAAAGCCAGAATAATGATGTAGACCAACATGCAAAGACAATTTGCAGTCAATTTGAATAGCCTATTTTCCCTCCAAATGACTGCAAAGACAGGATTTTAGGTACTCTAAGGCTGAAGTACTTAAAATAAAAGATAGGTTTGATGGGGAAGACAGGTTAGAATAAAATTAATTTAGAAATATTGCAAGTGATCCTAAATGCAGTACCAGAATGAATAAACAGTATATTTTCAAAACATTTTAACAGTTGTATTGGAGTAAAAATAACTATAAATAAAGATAACTCAAGAATTCTATAAGCAAGCATACACATGAAATTCATTTTATAAGAGGAAAGCTAACTCCATTTCTCTTGAAATATGGACTAGCTTCTTGAAGCAATTCTAAACACTAATCTGCCGGAATGATGGCTTCATTGCACAAGAATTCTGCTCGGTTCCTTGGAAGTCTCCTTGAAGAAGTCAGTCTGAGAATGGGGGAATTCCATTATTGGTCAGAAGAATTCTTTGGTCACTATTGGAAGTGGGTTCAGTTTAGGGTGACTGTTGATCAACAGGGTTCATGGGTTTGCTAAAACTCATTTCAGGCAAGCTTTGGAAGTGCATTTCGCTTGGTGCTTATGAGGTTAAAAACAGGATAGAGGGAATTTCACATTATTGGAGGGCCTGAAAGGGAACTGATTCCCACAAGATGCTCAGACAAGATCAACCCCAGCCCCTTTTCTGGTTTAGCATTTCTCTGGGCTATAGAGGTAGAAGAAAAGGCCCTGCATGGGCCCACGCTACCTGTGCTTGGAGGTTTTAGATAATCTTATTAAATTGTAGCAATCTTAAACAGAACTGCAAGGTTGCTTTTAAAACCAGATCTCAGATTTCTTTGAGCTAACAAATGGTAAAATGTATCTTTGGTATTAGAGTGAGATAAAGGTAGTTATAACTTTTTTTCTTTTTTACTTATTTTATGTTAACATATGCAACAAAGGGTACAAATTGTAGGTACACAGCTCATTAAATTTTTATGTCTGCACATGCCCATGAAACCAACACCTAGAGTAAGAATAGGGATAATTTTCTCCTCCTCTGAAAATTCCCTTGTGCCTTTTCCTCATCAGTACCTTCAAAGGTAACCACTATTTTGATTTTCATTACCATAAATGAGTTATACTTGTTTTTGAAAAGATTATTTGAAATGTGTAATATAAATATTAGCAGTTATTTATCTTACAGAAGTATCACTGAGAATTCATTTCTTCTCTCCTTCATTTATTCATTTGTTCCAAACACTGTCTAGTACCAACATTGTCCACCTGGCATTGAGAATACAATATTGAAAAAAGAGTCACTGCCTGCCCTCAGGAAAAAATCAGTGTATTTGAAAGAATACACACAAGTAAACAGGCAGTTATGGCAAAATGTGGTAAAAGTTGCAAAATAGAGAAGTGTCAGATGCGAAGAGAAAAGGGTGTATGACATAGACTTGGGTGGTCAGTAGTGGTTTCTGGAATTAATGACATTTAGACTGAAACTGGAAGGATATGAGTAAGGGCTAATCGGACGGAGATGAAGAGATACAGAAGCAGAAGGAACAGTAGGAACAAATGCTCAGAGGCAAAAGAAAGCTTTGAATATTTGAGGAGCTGAGAAGCAAAACCACAAAAAATAACCATCCCTTGATTACACAAGCGACCTGGGGTCAGATCCTGAAGGACTTTGCAGATCATTTTTCCACTTGCAGACTTTGTACTTGACTTTAAGAGCCATGGAGAGCCACTGAGGCATTTCAGCAAGGGACTGTCATCATCAGATTGGTATTTGTTTTGAAGTAGCACATGTAAGAGAAAATGACAATATGGATGAATAAAGAGTTTGAAAAACAATTTTGCTTTGGTACTTTTGCTATCTGAGATAGCACCCCCCCATCAGCCATTTTTAATGGCACTACTATTTGAGCAGAAGTTGCAAGAACATTTGCAACAGATAAGTTTTTTCTGTAGAACATAAAGCAGGGATGCTTGAATGATGTGTTACTTGAATTCCATTTTAGCAGGAAGCCGTCCATAATAAGAGCAAGTTGAGGAATATGCCTTATGTTCACAGTGGCACATGTAGGGTTTGCATCTGCCTTCAATGTTCCTATAATATGAATCCTCCACTGCAGAAAATTCCTTCTGGAATTTTCTATTTTCTGTGTTAAACTTTATCAAAATTTTTTCCTGATGTTTATATTTCTGTGATAATCATTATTAAACTGAAAAACGAAGAAGAAAAGTCTCAAAACCGTCTTCACTGAATCTCTAGTTTCCATGTCCCCTTCTTTGAAACCTGCACTTCAATTAATGGTCTGGATAATTCTTTCAAACATCTGCCCTGTTTGCGCACTGCTTGTGTACCCAAATGGATGTCTAAGCTGATGAGATAAACTAGATAGTCACCGAATTCCCACTCTACCATGTCACGTAGACACAGTTTAAGTAAAGTGACTGCATGCTTTGCGTTCTTCACTGTGATAAATTGAAATTCAATGTTTTCATCAATATCACTTTTATTTCCCTCTTTCTTACTTGAATGGAATTTATTTTTAAGCTTTTTGATTTTTTTGGTCTTATTTAAAAAAAGCACATAACATTCCTTCACAATAGTATTGTTATTCAACTTTTTGTCATGGTTGAAATATTAGTGCAATACTGAAGTGTCTATAAACCAGATTTATTTATTACCACACTGACAAAAGTACAACTAACAAACAGTTGGTAGGTAGATAACATCAGAAAAATCCATGCTATGAAAGGGAATTTTAGTATGAATTCATCAAAGTAACTAGTAATTTTTAACAGACTAGTGACATATATGCCTCTCTCTCTAACTCGATTATAAACCCTTGGAGGGCAAGTGTTATGGGTGAGTTGTGTTCCTCCAAAATTCATATGTTGAAGTCCTAACCTCTAGTACCTCAGAATATGACCTTATTTGGAAATAGGGTCTTTGCAGGCTGGGTGTCATGGCTCACACCTGCAACCCCAGAGCACTTTGGGAGGCTGAGATGGGTAAATCACTTGAGGTCAGGAGTTCGAGACCAGCCTGGCCAACATGGTGTAACCCTGTCTCTACTAAAAATACAAAAAATATTAGCCAGGCCTGGTGGAGTGCACCTGCAATCCCAGCTACTCAGAAGGCTAAGGCAGGAGAATCACTTGAACCCAGAAAGTAGAGGTTGCAGTGAGCTGAGATCACACCATTGCACTCCAGCCCAGGTGACAGAGTGAGACTCCATCTCAAAAAACAAAACAAAAAACAACAACAACAACAAAAAAAGTGGAAATAGGTTCATTGCAGATATAATTAGTTAAGTTAAGATGAGGTCATACTGGAATAGGGTAGGCCCTAAATCTAATATGATTGGTGTCCTTAAAAAATAAAGGAGGGGAGTTTGAACATATGCAGGTACACAGGGAGAATGCTGCATGAAACTTGGTGTTATGCTGCCACAAGCCAAGGGACTACCAGAAGCTAGGAGAGGGGTCTGGAACAGATTCTTCCCTAGTGCCTTCAGAGGCAGCATGGCCACGTCAACACCGGGATTTTGGACTTCTGCTCCCCAGAACTGTTACACAATATATTTCTGTTTTTCTAAGCCACCCAGTTTGTGGTAGTTTGTTATGGCAGCCCTAGAAAATGAATACAGCAAAGATTACAGCTCACTCATTTTGTATGACCTACAGAGGCTCATGAATGTTGGCTGAATTCAAATTGCAACTATAGACCCCAGCTACTTGGGAATGTGCTAGGATTGATTTCCAACTGCTTGCACTTAGAGCAGACAGGCACCTGATCACGGCATCCATCCACTCCCTACCCCACCTCCACCCTGAAAGAGGATGACAAAGAAGCTTCTTGATGTACCAGAAGGGACCCTCACCCAGATGAGGCTGAAGCATCCACAGCGGCATGCTTCACAAGGATACTCAGGCCTAGAAATCTCACCCCCCTCAAATCTGCTCCTCGTCTCCAGTTCTTGTAGACATGTGTGAGGGTCAGACAACTTCTTTACCTGCATTCAAGGAATTTCACCTAAGTGTATCTTTCACTCAATCATACCGTAGCCCATCATGACTCATGAGCATAAGTTAATGAAGCTTGTCGTAAGTGAACCTCCATTTTGATTGAAGGAGGAGTAGACTAGCAGTGAATGGCCTGGGAATATACTAGAGACAACTACATAGCACTAGTTTTCACCGTTTGTTTTTATTTCCACTGTATATGACACAGGCATGGCTTAGATTAGCTCTGACTCAGCTGTGCACCCCAAAGAATAAGTCATTGTCTTATCTATCCCTACACTGAAGTTGCCACTCGGTTAAAGTTTTAAAGTTGGTAGTTTGTTCAAATATCTCTATATATATTTGAAGATATATATGTGTGTGTGTATATATTCATATGTTCCTTGAACATATATGTTTATATATGGGCATGTATTTTCAGCATGTGACATCAAGTGTGTGAAGCACACAAATCTTAAGTCTGCAGCTCAAAGACTTTTTATGTATAGATACACTTGTGTCATGACCCAGATCATCAAGATCTAGAACATTTCCAGCACTCCAGAAGATTCTCCTGTGTTCCTCCCTCGGCCTTTGCAAGTATAATATTTAATAAACCTCAAATTCCTTTCTCCTAACCCTGCTGACAAAGTTTTCTGTACTAAAATTCTGTGGCAGTTCACAAGGAATGTAAAATCTGGCTCAAAGCTCACTCTGCTGCCTTTGTATTGTCTGCAAAGAGCAGAGCTTGCAAACTGGCTGCCTGTGGGTAAAATCTGCTCTACATATGGTTTGTTTGGACTGAAATATGTCTTTAAAAAATGAGCCAAAATTTTAGATTTAAGGCATTTTACATGATAACCGAAATTCAGAGGGAGGAGAAGTCCTTCTCTTTAAAAATTGGACAATGTCTTACATCCTCTCCCTCAGAAAAAAATCACCTGGAGCTGAGTAGTAATTGCCTGATTAAAATGGGTAGAGTCAAGGAGCTCTACCTCTCTCCACCATGTATGCAATATCTGCATGAGCATGCCTGCCTGCTGCCCTCGTGCGTGTATATTACCTGCTTGGTCCTTGGGCCAGCCACAGCTAGACAAGATGGGAAATGTAAAGCAGACTTTTAACAGGAGACTGTTTATTCCCTGCAAAGGGAAAAGTTACCTTCAGTACTCCCAACATATTTGAAGGGAAAATAGAAAATAGAGCTGGATTTTAAATTAATACACCATTTTGTGTAACTTTGCAGTGGTTTGCCTTCTGAACTTGCCTATTTTATTAGGGTTCTCTTAGAGGGACAGAACGAATAGGATGTGTTTGTGTGTTATATAACTCCCATATATAACATACATAAACTCCTATTCATACACACACACACACACACACACACACACACACACACATATGGGAGTTTATTAAGTATTAACTTACACGATCACAAGGTCCCACAATAGGCTGTCTGTAAGCTGAGGAGAAAGGAGAGCCAGTCTGAGTCCCAAAACTGAAGAACCTGGAGTTCATTGTCTGAGGGCAGGAAGCATTCAGCATGGGGGAAAGATGTAGCCTGGGGGGCTAAGCTCGTCTCTCCTTTTCATGTTTTTCTGCCTGCTTTGTATTTGCCGGCAGCTGATGAGATTGTGCCCATTAGATTAAGGGTGGATCTGCCTTCCCCAGCCCACTGACTCAAATGTTAACCTCTTTTGGCAACACCCTCACAGACACAACCAGGATCAATATTTTGTATCCCTCAATCCACTCAAGTTAACACTAAATATTAATCATCACACCTATTACTTATTATATAGCATTTTAAGTAGCTTTACATGGATACTTTTGCATGCATGCACACACACACACACACACACATACACCAATATTAATGTCTAACATCTGGATGCTGGCTGATGTTTAATTTTTAATGTAACCATTATGCTGGAAGGCATTCATTTGTGGTATAACCACAGCTTCAATTCTGGTGTTATATCTTTTCTACTTAACTAGTTCCATTAGATTTCTAACTGAAGAGTGAATTAACTCATCTTTTATGGTCCTTTATATTGCAAGGTGAACTTGAATCATCTTATTAGATTCATGTTAGACATATGCTTAGTGTTGAACATTCTCCCTACATATATATGAAAATCTTTATGAATGGCATTTGAAAGGAGGACATAACCATTGTCTCATAAAAACCTAGGCACTTCTAAGTCTCATTATAAAAGTTCCTCATTTAAAAACAGTATAAAAAAGAATTGCCATTTTAAAGGAAAGCTACATGAAATGTAGGTTTTGAATGAAAAGTTCCTTGGCTTTGCTTTTCTTCTGAGCAACTCTTCTCCTTTTATGTTTTACACAACCTCATAACAATTTTTCTTACAATCTTCTAGACTGTAATATCACTACTTTCCATTTTTCATACAAGGTAAGTACCCATGCCATCAATATATCTTAACATCAAGGGCTTGTGAGCAGTTTCTTTCTGATATGTCAAATTATTTGTAACCCACATCAGAGTGATCAGAGATGGTTAACTGGTAAAACTGATTAATAGAGATAAAATCATAGCAGCAAACAAAAACAAAAACAAAAACAAAAAAAACCATCGAGGAAATATTTATTTAGGATTTATTTAACTGTATTTGAAATAGTCATTTCACGCATGCATATAAACACATGTGCACCCCCCACAGTGGTTTTACTTTTAAAGTCTATATGAAAGGTCTTATGTTATTTTACTATATCCTGAAAAATACTTGCTAAGTCAATTTATAAGTACAACCATTGTTATTCAAACTCTTGAGTTACTACATGTTAAAATGACTTTATTTATTTATTTACTTAGA